TAATAATAATAATAATAGTACGGTATTTATATAGCGCTATTTCTATCACTATCCAATAGCGCTGTACAATAATTTTATAAATCGGACCGATAAGATTAAAAAACCGTAAAAATCTCTAAAACATGAGTAAAAGAAACTAGCTAATAAGGTAGTCTGTAATAATGAGAGTAAAAAACTTGAAACTTATATTGAAATTAACTAATTTCCTAGCCAATTAACTAGCTCACTAACTAATCAACTAATTTACTAGCTAACTATCTAGCGGCCTAACTTACTACTTACATAATTAAATAGCTCAGTAAGGAGTAGTCTGATTGTAAAATTTGTTAAAAAGGTATGTCTTTATACAGGTCTTAAAATGTGATAGCGAGCCGCTCACTCTTATGTTGTTTGGAAGAGAGGAGGTATTTAAGTGCCTTCAATCACAAACAATAATTAAAACATCTGTTTCACTGACAGTTCGACGCTTAAAACGTTGAGAGGCCTTGCGAAAATCCGCTATTCGTTCGTATTTTTCCCGGTGTGATATTGTGGTATATCTTACGCGTTCTGTTTAATAATAATAAATAATATTTATGTATGTATTTACGATATTTAGACAAGCCAGCCCAGTTCAGCTTGAAGCTCAGGTTTAAATGGGGGCCTGTACATCCCACCATTCCACCCCAGGGGAGGACATCCATCACACAGTAATCTCATGTGTGGGAAATAACGTCTCCTACCCCCAACCCTACAGGGGACGGGACCTCCATTTATTCGTCCCTATCGGAGAAGACTAGAATATCTAACCATTTCTTGATGTTATGGAAAAGTAGCAAATTCTTCTCAATTATTCTAAGACCTTGAGTGTTGGTCCGGCTGGGGCTCGAACTCTCGACCTCCCACTCAACAGTCCAGCGCACTACCCACTGGGCTAACTAAGCGGCAGAAATAAAATTTTACCTTTTCCAACAAGTGTTTGTTTTTTTATAGCTTTCTACCGAAAAATCTTGGTAGGAAACTGGCTATGTGACACCTACCACCCTTCCACTTGATGAAATAAGCACAACTTTGAATCAGTCATGCTTTTAATCCCGAGGTCTCAAGGGTCTAATACACCTGGGATTTCAATTACAGCTCGCTGGCATGCATTACAGATCTGTGGCATGCGTGAGAAGATGCCTCGCGGATGCGTTTGCAGAGGTGCCTCACATGTAGGGGAGCTCCTTCGCACGCATGTCACTCCAGCGTCAGACATTTCCCAGAGTCGTGCTTTTAATCCCGAGGTCCCGAGGGTCTAATGAATCTGGGAATCGAGTTACAGCTCGCTGTATAAGAAAAACCCTGGAATGCTTCAGGATTACAAAGTGATGTTATTGTAAGAGCCTTCCACTGAAAAACAAGCCAGTTTCTCTGGAATTTCTATTTTTAAAGATCTACGGTGATTCATCCAGTGCAGCCTTAAGAAGATTTCCATAAAGACACACAACTTTTAGACTTTGATCATCAGCCACTGTTTGAGAAATGAACTTATGCCACTCCCAAAAGGACAAGAAACTAAACTTAAGAAGCTGAAATGATGAAAGAAATATTAGTTTCCATAATTTTCCAACCGACAGAAATTGCCTCTTTTGACTTGATCTTGAAAATTTATATTAAACAGCTTGAATCTAAATGCTTTGAACAGTTGAGCCTCTATTAACCCCATGATATAGCATCAAAATTGTTTGTCTTTCCATCTATGTTTAACACTTCCTAAAACATTCAACAACTTTGGGAAGTGGAACAAATTCAATTCCAATGGGAATTTCGCAGTGTTTTGTAGAAAAAAGTTATTACTGACCTCAAATGTGACTAATTTAAATTCACAAAAAAAAATATGGGTTCTGCTGTAATACTTACATTGAGTAGGACACTTATTGGATGTCTACCGCATATTGTGTTCCTAGAATTCTTCAGATATTCCACAAAACAGGCAGGGTCAAGCTTTTCTATGGCATCCATACCCTAAGAATTGGATAAAAGAATATTGTATAGCAAGTATTTTTTTTCAAAGAAAACATGCTTCTGTTGCTATTCTATTTTAAACTTATGTCTATAAGTTTCAACAAGAGCAGAATCCTTACAGGTCAACAGTTTCTTAACAAGCTCCCCCCCTCGATTAAGAGCCTGACTTCCGGCCAAAACTTGAAATAAGTACCTGCAGTGAGTGCATATTCAAGGAAATAGGTATAATTATCATAATTTGAAACAGGTGTCACATACAAACCATGCAGAGTGGCCTAGCTTGTCAACAAACTTACTGCAGTTCAGTAGAAAGGACATCTAAGTATGATAATGACACAGATAAACGATAACTCCATAATAAAAGTTGCAAAACTGTGATCGCTTCTTTTAAGTCATAAATTACCTTTCTATCTAGAGCTTCTATAGATTTATAAATGGGACCACAACTTTTGTCATAAACTGTGTAATTAAATCGAGATCCTAGAAGACAAAAGCAATAAAAAGTCATGTACACTATACATGGCAAAGGCTATCCAACAGACAGTTGCCATCACTGTCCTGAAAGATCACCCTTACCAGACAAGTTTAAGTCCTTCAGGCAAACTTGGAAAGGTAAAAATCCCAGTTTTATCTTGTTTCTTTATGCACACAACTCACAGATAGACTGTGCAAGCTTGTTACAGCTTGCTCAACCAGAGTTGGATATTATTCATGTTTTATATTACTAGCCACTTCAACTACAAAGAATCCTCTAAGACGTTATAAACTTAACATCTTAGAGGATGTTAAGTTTATAACATCCTCTAAGATGTTAAGATTAACATCCTCTAAGATGTTGATTATAACTTTCAATTTATTAAAAACTGGATCACTGGATAATGCAATTCAAGACTTTTTATTGGCTTAGCCATTATGGTATATGAGCCAATATACCATAATCTACAAGTATGGTAAGTGTCCGCATCAGCTTAAAATCAAAAGGGAGCTAAAAAATCTGGTTTCTTCTTACAAAATAATAATTTCTTGGGGGCGTTTTTAATAAAACAATTATTCCATTTGCGCTTGTTGGATATGAGATAATTATAGCCAACTCGGCGCTATGCGCCTCGTTGGCTATCTATCATCTCATATCCAACACGTGCTTGTGGAATAATTGTTAAATATGAAATGCATAATTCTTCTTGATGTTGAGGATAGTATCAAGAGACTTTTATTAATTAAAAAGAAGAAAATTTAGTCAGCACATTTTGTGCATGTTTTCTTTTTCCTTATTCATCATTTACCAAGCTTTTTTTAAGAATAATCTCATAAATGCATTGGAGTAAGCAAGGCTTTATGTAGAACACTTATCACTTGTTTAGCAGTTGAAAAATTGGATTCAATGTACTAACCCCAATGACAGAAGTCTGAAGAGATGATAAACAAATTTTCTGGTCTGACCAGATACTTGCTAAGAAGCTTGCCATATGTAACTTCGCTCTTTGTTGATAATGAACCAACCACAATTGGAACAATCTTAAACTGGTCCCTTTTACTGTCAGCAAAAGAACAATAATCTTAAAACCATTTTGACCACTCAAGGTGTTGGAACAAGTAATTTTTCCTCATCATTCCCATATATTATAAAAATTTTCAATTCACTGTCAAAAGTAATCCCCTGATTACTTTGACTTCAGAAGAGACAGGTTTATTGAGAGCAAGCTTCCAGAACTAATGATGTCTGTGGACAAATATCCAAGTATATTTTTGTGCCAAATGGAGGTTATTATTATTATTGAAAGATGTAATCAGCTGTTGGGTGTCGTGTTGATATCAAATCAAATTCACGAAATAAAAATATTACATAGCAACTACTGGGGGAACGGGAAGATTACAACTCTGATATTAGGCCTTAGCAATTCTTTGAACAAAAGAAGTGATTCTTCGAAAGTAAAAAATCTGCTTGAAGTTCACAGTGATAATGTAAATATTTAGAAGATTGACCTGAAAGTTAGGTTTTAATCAAAGTAAAACTCTAGCCTAATTCACAAAAACAAGATAGCTGCCATGACTGTCAGACTGCTGACAACACAAAGGCCCATAAGCCACAGTTAACCCAGAGTAACAGCATAATAAGATATAATTATGATATTAAAGCCATAAGCCACAGGTAACCTATAGTAACAGTATAATAACAGGATATAATTATGATATCAAATCTTTATAATGTTCAAGTCAGTTATTTATAATTTTACACACACCTCTCCATAACTTTAGCAATATAGGGCAAATGAAGCTCTATGCTGTGCTCTTTTTCATCGTCAGCTTGACTGAGCTTCTCAAACTCTCCTGTTGCAAACAGTTCACTATTTACTGAAAAAAAATTGAAAATGTTTGTATTCACTCAGTTCCCTTGGAAACCTTGATTTTTTGCTTAGTTGTCTATAATTGAAGACACACAAATTAATCAAACTGGTACATTGACAAAAACAGTTGCTCCAAATTAATATTTCAAAGAAAACTGCTCTTACCCTCTGTGTCAATTGAAAGATTGTACAATGGAGTTTCATACTTTGATAAACTTGTTATTGCACAGCCAGGCAGGTACATGTGATGAGATGGACCCAAGATAAAGATCCGCTTTCTACAAAAACACAAAGAAAACAATTGAAAGGGTGAAGGCCTCAAAAAGGTTAATTTTCAGAGGTCTGTATATCACTGGCTTTGACCTTGTACACCCTAGCATCGATATTCAACTTCACCATACTGTTCCCTAAATATATTCTTTGGTACTGACTGCTATTTTAACAACCGAAGCATCTTTTACTTTTTCTCCTTGATTGAGTGAGTATTAAACCTAACAATGTCATTTGAATCCCAACTGCAAAACCATTACCAGCCAAGTTGCCCATTTCAAAGAAAAGAGGCGTGGTCAACCACACAGCGTATCATTTCATATTGTACAAATAGTCCTTTCCCCTTTTTTTTTCTTTTTTTTTTTTATTCAGTCTTTATTTCTTCCTTAACAAATATGAAATTTCTGGCTTTAATTTTATAATTCTGTTTCGTCATTGGTCATTGGTCGCTACGGAGTCACGTGAGAAGGCGCACGAGCCTGGGAAGATCAGTTGTGTAA